CACATTCACAGATTCTTAGTATTAAAAAATATATAGATTCAAAAATATTTTTAAAGAGAACGTACAGTATATCGCGTTTGATCTTTTTCAGTGCAAGGGAATCAATTCAGAATGTGAGAGCTGCACATAAACCATATTGGAAGTGTTTGACATACGAAGGTAATGGCAGAAATCACCTTTTTTTCTGATATACTGCTGCAGATCATGGAAAAAGTATTAAAATATTTCTGGATTTAGTTTACTGTCTGTCCTTTTCATAATTCACATAAATCTTATCAAGTTTAAATATTCCAAAGCAAATCCTAAGTAGGTTATCAAATTCCAATGCCATTTTAGAAGCAGTGTTAGAAACTTTGGCTAGATTTTAATGTCACTAGGTGATAAAGTCACATAAATTGGCAATATACTGACTTAATTAACTTATTCTCAAATTGTTAATTTAGTCGAGATAAATTAACAACTTGTCCTCAGTTATTTTTTCTTCTTTTTGAATTGTCAAATGAAAGAGTGAAGATATAAAGGATGTCATCGGCAAATTTAGCATGGATAATTACGACAATATACTTGGTTGAAATAACTGGAGTTGAAGTAATTTAAAAGAATATGAACTTAAGACTGTGTGCACTTAAAAATATCAACTAAAAGAAGTGTTTTGGGATGTGGGAGCATAAGCACAATGAGTTGCAATACGGACATGATGCTATCTATTTTTTTATTGTTTTCTACTAAAAACAATGTTCAGATTTTGAACTAAATGAACCATTTCTGAACTAAATGCTTTTCCCCCCAAAAAAATCTCTTCAGAGATTTGAAAAGTGGCAATACCCAAACCCCAAGTATAACTAGCATAAGCAACTTTCCATAACTTGGCTAGAATTTTGAGAATTGTAATCTGAAGAGTTGAGATCTGGAGGCTGCTGGCTTGAGGAAAACAAGCATAATTTGTCTTCACTATAGAGACAGGCTGTGTTCTGTTGTTGTTCCCAGATGTAACTCCAGTGCAAGATCTCAGTACTAGGTCCTGTCAAGCAGAGGAAGCTGAGCTTACACAGACCAATGTGGAACTCCCAAGTTCTCAAGAAGTCGGAAAGGGAGACGTCAATGAAGTCATCAAAACAGATAGGTTTTTGGAGATGCACATGAAAAGCATTTTGTCTTTGAAACCCCCTATTAAAACAGCAGCAGCTATTGATGAGAGTGATACACACCTGCTCCCACCAACTGTTCACATTCCAAATGGACTGGATGTGAAAGAGTTCAAAGCAACTATCAGGTTAGCTATACCGGTCACCAGCTCAAAATAATGTGTATCATGGTACAACCAATATTTAGTATTCAGCTTTCGATGAAAAACAATGTCCAGCCTCTCCAGTTCAAAGAATTGGTAGCAAAAGTGTGTCTGTGTAAAATACAGGTAGTCCCCAACTTACAACAGTTCATTGAGTTACCGTTCAAAGTTACAATGGCACTGAAAAAAGTGACTTAACGACCATTTTTCACACGTCTGACATTTGTAGCATCCCCGTGGTCATGTGATCAAAATTCAGATGCTTGCAACTGGTTCATATTTATGACGGTCAGAGTGTCCAGGGGTTGTGTGATCAGCTTTTGGCTCCTTCTGACAAGCAAAGTCAATGGGGAAGCCAGATTCACTTAACAACGTTATTAACTTAACAACTGCAATGATTCACTTAACAACTGTGGCAAGAAAGATCATAAAATGAGGCAAAACTCTGTTCACAAATGTTTCACTTAGCAACATACATTTTGGGCTCAATTGTGGTCGTAAGTTGAGGACTACCTGTAGAAGTTCAAGTAGAAGTGACCTGTGATTATTTGTTTATTTCGCAAAATTATATAGCTGCCCAACTCACACAGAGGTGTTTCCAGGCATCTTATAACATTTTAAAAAGACCCATATATATAAAAAAAAATCTCACCCTGGCTCTGATACTCTGTTTACCCAAGAATTCCAAAGTCCTTCTTTATATGTTGCAAGAAATGGGTTAATTAATGTTGCAGTTAACAGACGATTCCTCCTGAATAATAGGGACATCATTTTTGGTGTACAGTACACAGAGTTATTTATAATCTGGGTGACTTTTATATATCCACTAAGAAGTCATAAATTCAAACCTCAGTATGTTGTTCAAGCAGTACAATTGTTCCAAATGTTCCGGGGTATAACCATCATTCAAATATATGTATTTCACAGTGCATTTGATGTGAAAAAAGAGGCCCTGAGCTCACTCTTGAACATGCTGGCTGTCCTTAACAAAATCATTAAAAAGGAGGTAATGTTAATCATTTGGCAAAACTAAGTTGATTTGATATGACATAATTGGTTTTGAGGAGAACTAAACATACTTTAAAATCTCACAGCCATCCCTACAAGGAAGTTGTGCTTAAATTGAAGCTATGCCCTTTCTTTTTTGTCTATGAAGATTCTCAGCTATCCAGGATAGTTCCAGGTCATAGTATCAAAAGTGTTTTTTTTATTTTGAAAAAAAAAAGCAACTGGATTGATTTTTTTTTTGAGGAAAAACAAGACATTTTGCTTCCTATTCTGGAAGCTTCATCAGCTTGTATTGGATGCTCTAGGACAGACATGTCAAACTCGCATTGTATTGGAGCTTTTTCTCCATTATCGGCAATGGGGTGGGCACGGTTTCCCGGTGACGCATCCGGCCAGCAGTTTGACACCCCTGCTCTAGGAGATGGAAGGATTAGTTATTCACAACTGAAATTAGATGGTGGGAGGGGGAAAATGATAGATTCTGACAAGATGATGCTTGTGGTGGGAATGGAAAGATTGTATTTTCTTTGCAGTCAGCTGGTCTTAAATCTTCCTCAAAAAATCAGTCCAGTTGCTTTTTTTTTTTTCTTTAAAAATAAAAAAAACCCACTTGATACCTTTCTTTTTTGGGTCATTTTCCTGGTAGCGTAGCATCTTAGATGTAGGTTGGTGAATATCACTTTACATCTCTCAAACAATTAGAACGTAAATTCATTCTATTTAAAGAGATATATCACAAGTTCCATCTGCATGCTTAACTAACTACCCAATTATTATATGGATGGTTAACTCTTTATATTCTCCTAGAACAATGCATTATTGTCCCATTACACTAATTGCTGCATAATTTCTCTATTACTACTAAGGTAAAAGCTGCATATATTCCCACCTTGGGCATCCTGCTGCAATGTAAATGCTAGTGCTAATAACAAAAACACATTCCAATTAACTCAGTAAAGCTGATAACTGCGTGGAGAGAAGACTAACCTGGGTTACAGATATGTGAATAATTTTTCTGAAAGCAGTAAATCACATCTTATGAATAAAGTTAAACAATTTGGCTGGAACTGAAAAAGTTTGCTTGATATCAAGCCAAACTGTGTGCATAGATGCCCTCAAGTAACCACAATCACAAAGAAGCGGGGTTGAGCAGGGGATTGGACTAGAAGATCTCCAAGGTCCCTTCCAACTCTGTTATTTTATTCTAAACAACAGTGCAGATCTTGGCTTTTGCACTTAAGTTCCAATATGGGATATAAATTCCAGAGCCAGCTGGGTGACTTTAGGTCAGTCACTCTCTCTCAGCCCAATTCACCTCACAGATTGGAAAAAATTGTTGGAAAATAGGAGGCGAAAGGAGTATTAAGTGTGTTCAAAGCTTAGAGTTATTTTATAAAAACAATAAAGGCAGGATAAAATATCTAAACTGTGGCATCATGATATGCATTTCATTATTTGTCTTCATCCTCCATATATACCTGTGGCTGTATGACTTGTATACGTGCCTGTACAAAATCATGTAAGACTTTGAAGAGGCCCAGATAGAATGCAGTCCTTCTCCATGCCAAAGCAGACCACTTATTCAGGCATAATCTTTGCTAGGATAAAAATTACTGAGTAGAAAACAACTTCAAGCCACCTAAGTCAATCCTAATACTTTTGTAAATTAAATGACAACAATTCCCTCTTTCCACAGTTAATATGCTCAAATGAATAGTAGAGAGGTGCTGCCAAATTATTAGTATGTTTAGCTAATTAGTTAATCAATTTTCTTTGTGCTAGCAACATGCTTTTTAGAATTGGAGTCCTTGTGTTTATACCTGGGGAAGCCTAAGCTTCTTTCTATTTATCCCATATCAAAATGTTTTCTTAATATTGGTTGACTGAAACCAGAACACAAATGTATCATGTAAATAGATTATGTACTGTACATTCCTATCTGGTGCATCATTAAGATTTAACTGACTTTAATTTAGGGGAAATATGTCATCCAGACACTGGTATTTGCTGGTAGCCCCTCAAATAGAGATCCTTCACTGATTTTCTGATCTGGATTACTTACAACTGGATGTAATAATAGCCAAGTTATTCCTTTTGTGGCAGAACATATCCGGACTTGATAATATATATGCTTTTAAATGTCCAAATATTTTGTTTGGATATAAATTTTATAGTATTTGCAGAGACTTTATTTGTTCTTATAACTATACAATTTAGACATTCATATACAGTATGATGAATTTATACATATAAGGCAATACATATATAATCTTGACTGTAAGTAATATTACATAAAATAGTAACATTTTAATTATTATCATGTTATTTAGGTGATCAATGGGCTTGCAGTTTCATCTACACCTTCACTTGCTTCTGCCATTGCGGTAGCACATTGTAGAAACCTGAAGGTACAAAAGTAGGTATAAGATTGTTGTGCTTAATACTTTCTTGCACAGTTGTGTATTTAAAGGACAATGTAATAAATTACTATTCAAAAATGATTCAAAGAGATACTTTGAATGTCACTAAAGGCAACACCTCTCTACTATTCATTAAAATAGTTGACTTTTTTTTAGCCATATGCATGATCCTAAAAAAATTTTTTAGGAGTCATACTAACTTTAATTAGCCATCTTCTGCAAACCAAGCACATTTTTTTCAATGTAGTCTTTGGTGTTCTATGAACTTGGTGATTTTCTTGCAGACTTTTCATTACCAAATAGATGTTAACTAGTTTGGCAGTGAAAAGTCTGCAAGAAAACCACCAAACTCAGAGAGCACCAAGGACCCCACAGAGCTACAAATATTTTTTTATCAACACCTTTTCAAAGCACGCACAACTATATATATTGTACCTTTTTTGGCTAATTCTTTCAGTCCTTAACATTGTCTATTATTTAGGGATTTGGGAAAATTCTTGACAGATTTTGAATCACAACTTGGACTATTTTGCATACCTATACGGTCCATATGCAGAGTGAGCAGTACTCATTTCTATATGAATAAACTCCATTTAACATGGTGGAATTTATTTCTCATACAGAATTGCACTTTGTACTACAAAAATTTGATCCATTTTAAGAATACTGTGAATGTATATGATAACGAAGATGCAACAGACTACAGAGTTGTGGAGATGGAAAGGGACTAAACAGGTATACCTAGGGCAGTGATGGCAAACCTTTTAGAGACCGAGTGCCCAAACTGCAACCCAAAACCCACTTATGTATCGTCGGGTGCCAGGTGGGTGTAGCCCATTGGCTGGGTGTGGCTAATTGGGTGGGTGTGGCCCATTGGGTGGGCACGGCTGTGGTGGTAATGGCAGACTGGGTGGGACTAAAAAGTTCAATCAATCAATTCCAACTTGCGAGATCTTTTTTTTTCCCACGAGAAGTTGAAATTGACTGATTGATTGAACCTTTTTTTTTTTTTGCACAAGGCGGAGGCCTAAAGCGAAAAGGTTTTATAAAACCCAGCTGAAGGCCTAAGACTGGGGCGATGGCGCGCATGGCCACAGAGAGGGCTCTGAGTGCCACCTCTGGCACCCGTGCCATAGGTTCGCCACCACTGACCTAAGGGATGGATGGGATATGGTAAAAAGCAGAGGTTTGCTGCTACTGAATGAATACAGAATATATTACTTTGATAGAAATAAATTAGATGGCATGTCCGTTGTTCATGATGCATAATATTATTTTATAGATTAGGAAATTTTTGCCATAGATGCTATAATCCTTAAATTGTCTTTTGTAGCTAGGATATTGTCAGAATTATTCACATAGATTTATAAAAGAGCTCTTTAATTTAGAGGTTTAGATTAGCAGTTCCTTAACCGAATTTTCAGGGTTTGTTATTTATACTGCACATACATGGTTAATTTTGTTGGACTGTCAGCTATGCCAGTTTGTTATGTAGTCCATTATCAGATTATCTTATATAGACTAAGCTACTTGTCTTAAAGTTTGGTCTAGTGATTAAGGTATCAGGCTAGTTCTAGTCACGCCTTAGGCCAGCCACTCTCTCAGCCCAACATACCTCACAGGATTATTATTATTATTATTATAAGAAAAAGAAAGATGTATTTGGTAAGTTTGCCACCTTGAGTTATTTATAAAAATATTAAAGTAGGATATAAATTATTATATGTATGCATAACAGATTGTAAATCTGAAATATTTTGTTTCGCAGAGTCCTGTGCGTATTTGTTGGTGACATGGACATGAAAATTGAGTTGGATAATGGGTAAGTCTCAGTATTTCAACCAGTTTATTTAAATGTGCACAGTTGATTCTGAAAATGAAATTCTGCCAAGGTTAGTGGGGCTTCGTAATAAAAACATGAAACTTTGAATCTGTTTTTTTATCAGAATAATTTTACATCTAAAACACATATTTGATTATAGCAGTTCTTTACAGTTTGTATATAATGCTTTCCCCCCCAGATATGTGTACAGGTAGTCCTTGACTTACGACCACAATTTAGCCCAAAATTTCTGTTGTTAAGTGAGACATTTGTTAAATGAGTTTTGCCCCATTTTATGACCTTTCTTGCCACAGTTGTTAAGTGAATCACTGCAGTTGTTAAGTTAGTAATAAATTTCTTTAGTGAATCTGGCTTTCCCATTGATTTTGCTTGTCCCGGGAGACTGCAACCATCATAGATATGAGTCAGCTGCCAAGCATCTGAATTTTGATCACATGAGCATGGAGCTGCTACACAGGTCATAAGTGTGAAAAATGGTCATAAGTCACTTTTTTCAATGCTATTGTAACTTTGAACGGTCTCTAAATGAATTGTTGTAAGTCGAGGACTACATGTATTTGCTTTATTTTATTATTACCAGGGTGGCAACTATATTATAGAGATAATATTTATAGAACCTATTTTCTTTAATATTTTACAGCAAAGTCCTCTTAATCAATATTTGTGCTAAACATTCTGAACAAGTTAACACCAAACACAATATCTCTCTCAACTGGAAAGAAGTAGGTGTGGTATTTTATGGTCTTTTTTTATCACCCATGTATGATTTAGTGAGAATTCAAGGACATAAATTTTGAACTGAACTATATATTCAGCAATTGTCACTGATTTTAGAGTGTGGATGACATACAAATATTTGAATAATGTGATCCAACTGAGAATTCTGCCTGCTGGAAATGTACAGTTTGCTACCTGGAGTCATGCTAGACTCGGGTGGGCTATAAATTTAAAAACCAGTCAATGTCTTGTAAAAAGTGCTATTAATATATTTGGGGTAAACTGAAGGACTGCTACAGTGGAAGAAATTGGCACAACATTTTTAGAAACTTTGAAATGTTTGCACCATCTTTAACCCTTGTCTTCCCTGCATGAATAGAAAAGGACTGAAGAAAAGCACAATTGTAAAATACAAGGATGGTTTTCCCCACCACCGACTTTTTATGGACATCTGAGTCAAGAAAGTCTGATTATATTAATCACCAGGGGAGAAGAGTTACTTGTTTGATCATTCTGAGTTCCAGGAACAACAAAAGTTTGTTCATGCAGACTAGAGGTGGCAACCCAACTTCCAAGATTTTGCTAATGAAGCTCAGCAAATTTCAGCAGCATAATTTTGGGGTTTTTTATATAAATGTTTGGGGCAATTTTGACAGTATGAATGCAAATAATTTGAATGTAGGAAGCCTCCAATGTTTAAATTCCAGCAGGAAGCTAAACGCGCTCCCCGTACCCCCCCCCCCCAAATCCAAAACACCTCTTATGGCGAAGTCACAGTCAGCAGAAGGTGAACAGCTTCCTACCCCTACCTCACCCCATTTAAAAGAAAGTAAACATCAAGCTTTTAGCATTCACATACTTGATTATTGGGCTGGAAACAACTGCATGTTATTGTTATGGCCCTACAGATACGTCCGTTTTTTTTAATCCCTTTACACAAGTAATATATAAATACAGTTTCTATATTGAGAAATTAAAAAATTTAGTTTTGGATAATTTTAATTTGCTAACATTTGTTACTAAATAAAACTAAAATATTTTAATTTTTTGTTTATTTTTGGAAGGATCCTAAAACAAACAACTTCTTCTCTGCTACCTTTGGATTTATTCTTCCAGTCGCGTACAGCTATCAGCCTAATTTAACCATTATAGTTGTTGGACCAAACCAGAACCTTGGCAAAAATAGAATTTCCTTGCTTATTAATTTACTGCAAGGATTAGCAAACTCTCAGATACTCGCTGTAATCCAGGTAAGGAGTATGTAAGTGGTTTTACAATAAAAGAGCTTTATCTTTTAGAATAAAGGATCCAGGGGAAATGTGTGATTCATTCCTTCTAAAACTCTCTATGGTTTCAGATTCTCTTGTTTTCCTGAAGCAAATACATGAGGAATCTGATAAGCCGCTGTAGCATTTCAATTTCGCTTCTAAAAGGGAGTGAAGGGCAATTGTGAAAATTCAAAGAAAAGATGTGTTGTCTTTAAAGTGGTTCAGACAGATATTTCATGTCTGTGCGCCAAATCACGTTTTTTGAGATTCAACCTGAATAATTGCACAGCTTTGCTTCTCTGTTTGTCTCTGTTCCTATGCCTCGATCCTGGGAAAATCTAAATAAGTCAAACAAACCAAACATGCATAACAATTATTGCGGGGGTTCTTTAATTCTGCAGCATCATGACATCTCTAAAATGATAAACATATGTGAAACAACAGCCCTCCCAAATACAATGAATGATTTCATTGTGGTTAGAGTTTAGCAAGAAAGAAATATGAAGCTTCCTATTAATAACTCAGTTTTAATCTATTTATCACCAGGGCTTCTCAAACTTTGTAACATCACAACTTTCCATTGTGTCTCCAAACTGACGCAGGCAAAGCAAGAAACAAAACTCAGAGCAAATTTTGACAGGATTTGCCCAGACAAAGGGAGGGGGGGGGGGAAAGCTAGAGCAAGATTTTCGCAGTGCGTCCGTTTCATTGCTCTGAGACTGATTACATGTATGCATACAAACAGTTCGCCTCTGATCTAGGAAGCTCCTTCAGAAGCGAAGAAGCTTCTTGGATGACAAAACAAATGTTTTTAAGGAAAAAACCCAGGAAACTCCAGTTGCCTTTTAGAAAAAAGCACTTTTGGGACAATACAGGCACCTCACAAATTGCAGAGACTTCTCGGAGTTCCACCTCACAGTTGTGAAAGCCTGATTTAGTATAAAAGATACAGTATTAAAGATAACTGACTCCTTAATGGATATGTTCCCACATTGGACTAAGCATGGTATGTTTCATTGCGTCTTACTAATTGAATCCAATTTGTTTGTGTTTGCAGAATACATCAAGCTATAAACCAAGGTTAACAAACCACAGCTTATACAATTCACTAAACCAAAACCAAGTAAACCATATTATGGCTTAGTCCAGTGTATTAACACAGCCCTTTAATACTTTAGAGTACAAATTCTATTACACTGCAAGCAACAAAATGCTATGTTTCTTTTCTTTTTTGGGGGGGGGGGCAATCAGTACACATTTATGCAAGTGTTTTACTTTCTTTTTAAAGGATACTGAAGAAAAAATAATGCAAAATATAACCAACATCTTGACAGGTGATTTTATAACCAACTTTGGTACCTTTGCACCGGATTTAAAGGAGAATATGGAAATGGTAAAAGAATTAAGAGAGCAATTTCAACAGGAATGGAAATTGCTTCAGTGTTCAGGTAAGCAATCAAGTGAATGAAAATAAAATGTAAATCTTTATTAAATACCTTACGGCAGAGCTTTGAAGTACCTGAGGTTAGAGATTCTCAAAAGGAAAAAGATGCATGTTTTTGTTACAAAATTTGACTATTTTTCCTTTTGTTTTGTGTAGCAAAGAACTTCAAAGATGAAAAGTAATCTTTATTTCAACAATCTCTTCTCCCACATGAAAACAAACGATCAGAACAAGATAAGCTTTAGAATAAAAGGGCACAAAATGTTCCTGAACTGATTTTTATATAATTTGTACATTGAGAACTATCTCCCAGCCTGTTAACTTCAGAAATGTTATTGGCTTTGCTGTAAAGACTTTTTTAATTTTTTATACAGTACATATATAAATATTTATATATATACTGTATAAATGTATGAATATTGTATGAATACTGTATGAATAGAAGGGGAACTCATCAAATCTGCAGATGACACTAAACTGGCAGCAATAGCCAACATTCCAGAAGATAGGCTCAAGATTCAGATGGATCTTGACAGACTTGAACACTGGGCCCTATGTAACAAAATGAAATTCGATGTAGAGAAAAGTAAGGTTTTACCTTAGGCAAGAAAAATCAAATGTACAGGGACAGATTAGGTAAAACCTTGCTCAGTAGCAGTAACCATGAGAGGGATCTTGGCATCCTTAAATATGAGCCAGCAGCCACAAAAGCCAACACAATCCTTGATTGCATTAACAGATAGAATCAAGATCACGTGAAATATTAATATCGCTTTATAAAGCCTTAGTAAGACCATACTTAGAATACTGCATCCAGTTTTGGTCACCCTATTATAGAAAAGATGTAGAGACTCTGGAAAGAGTGCAGAAAAGAACAACAAAGATGATTAGGGAGCTGGAGGCTAAAACATGGAGAATAGTTGCACTAATTGGGTTTGTCTAGTCTAGTTAAAAGAAGGACAAGGGATGAAATGATAGCAGTGTTCCAATATTTGAGGGGCTGCCACAAAGATGAGAGGGTCAACCTATTTTCCAAAGCACCAGAAGGCAAGATAAGAAACAATGGATCGAATAATTCAGTGGAAGGGCTTGCCTTCAGAAGTTGTGGATGCTCCATTACTGGAGGCTTTTAAGAAGAGATTGGACAGCCACTTGTCTAGAATAATATAGAGCCTCCTGCTTGAGCAAGGGGGTTAGACTAGAAGACCTCCAAGGTCCCTTCCAACTCTGTTATTTGGTTTGTTAGCTGTTGGCCTTTACAAACTGTTGTAGTAAAAAAGGACTTGTGATATATAGGCTTTGTGTGGCCCTGCTCTAATTAGGCAGACACATGGGGCAGCCAATTAGCACTGTACAGCTCCAAGGGAAAAAAAGCTATAGTGATCACAAATGGGATTCTGTAGTAACGTCTCACTGGAATGTATGAATCTGAATCATTTTTCAACTACCAATGAGTAAAACCTATTTCTCATGTATAATTTTCACAATGTTAAATAAGCTTAATTACATTATTAACTCTAATGAGATTATCTTCTATGTGTATGAAAAAACTTTAATATTTGATCAATAAGGCTACTTATATCCTTGGGATGTTAGTGAAGTTTTAAATATTTCAATAGACCAAGTATTTTGGACAAGAAGCCATAAGTGTGTCTGTGTGTTGGGGGGGGGGGAATCTGTTGTATATTACTCAGCAGGTCCTGGCATCTGACTGATGTAGTCTGGAATTGAAAGTTAAATAGGTTTGGTGCTGGTTGTACTTGGAAAAGCTGCAGGTTGGACAGGAAAGTCAAAATGCCCAGAGAAAGTTTCTATACTGTTTCCAAGAACACTACACATGCAGTATGTGTTCATGCAATTACTGTACATGGATTCATACAACTTTGTAAAAAAATTCTATAAAGATTTAGTAGATGTGCTGGGAACTGAATAAAAATTTGGTTCTCAGGGGCCCTCAGCTGGTTGTAATGAAGTTGGAATGTGATTTGTACATGAAATTATACTGAATTAATTCAGGATTATCTACTATGCTGCACTAAGCTACAGGCTGTATTCATGTAATCCCAACCTGAGCCAAGATACACATGAACTGAAAGTTCTAGATTTGCACGAATATGTGAAAGATCAGTTAACCAGATACCAGCCAATAATTACCAATCTAACTATTAGCAAGGACCGCCTGTCATTATATCAAAAAAGCCAGGTCCCAACTTGAGGAATCCAAACCCCGTTTCTTCTCCATGCGTGCTTCACTGCTGTCTGTTAGTTACATTTGAAAATCTTAAGCCTCTTTGTCTGCATTCCCCTATCCCACGATATCAGAGACCCACTCATGGAGCATGTTCATGTCAATTGTTACAGCCAAGGTGCCATGGGAGTTGTTGGATGGGGGATGGTATTGTCAGAAACATACACAACCCATTTAACTCAGGACCGGGAAAGAAATCCGAGCAGTCCCTAGGCAGGTAATCCTCAATTTACAACAGTTCATTTAGTGACCATTCAAAGTCACAAGGGGGCTGAAAAAGCGACTTATGGCCGTTTTTCACATGACTGTTACAGCACGGTCACCTAATCCAAATTCAGACACTTGGCAACTGACTAACATTTATGGCTGTTGCAGTGTCCTGGGGTTAAGTGATCCCCTTTTGCGACCTTCCAACAAGCAAAGTCAATGGAAAAGCCAGATTCATTTAACCCAGGGGTTCTCAACCTTGGCAACTTTAAGACTTGTGGACTTCAACTCCCAGAATTCCTCAGCCAGCAAATTCTGGGAGTTGAAGTCCACAAGTCTTAAAGTTGCCAAGGTTGAGAACCCCTGACTTAACCTGTTACTAACTTAACAACTGCAGTGATTCACTTAACTATTGTGGCAAGAAAAGTCATAAAACGAGGCAAAACTCCCTTAACAAATGTTTCACATAGCAACAAAAATTTTGGGCTCCATTGTGGTCGTAAGTCAAGGACTACCGGTACAACGTAGAGGAGCGTCCAATAGGACAGCGCGACTTGCCGCTTGCGGTGCACGCCTTGCATACAAACCAAAAAGCTCCATGGCAGTGTTTCTCAACCTTGACAATTTTAAGGCATGTGGACTTCAACTCCCAGAATTCCACAGCCAGCATTGCTGGCTGTGGAATTCTGGGAGTTGAAGTCCACATGCCTTAAAATTGTCAAGGTTGAGAAACACTGCAGTCTACGGGCCTCCCTTCGCCCTTTACGGAGCCCGATCTACTCCCTCGCTGTCGGGGTGAGACGATTGATCCAGCCACCCGCCTATCACATGCCTCCATTCCTACCAGGTGGCCCTTCTGCCATTCTGCGCCTGCCCGACTCCTCCCTCCTGCGGTAGCTCCGCCTCAATCTTGCTGTTTTACTTCGTGCCCCGCGGTAGGTCAACCTTTCTTTGAATTTTAGGCGTTGGAGGCGGCCGAAGGGGAGGGGGAGGAGGTTTCTTTATCTATTACTATTTGGGAGAGGAGGCGAAATGGCGCCTTCTCGACTCGGCTTCTCCAGGCTCGTCAAGCGCGGACTCCCCAGTATCGGTTGCCCAGTTGGGAGCTCCAGCTTTCTTGCCTGCCTAGGTTTTCGGTCACCACGGGCGGCCAGCGCAATTGGTTAATCCACCAAGAAGTGGCGCGAGACCCAGACCGACCACGCATCCCGGAAGCTGGAGCTGGGCCTGGTCCGCCAACGACGACTTTTCCTTTCCCTCCGGCGTCACGTCGCCCTCCCGCGTTTTGAGATTGTTGTCCCGACTTTTCCAAATTGGTGGTTTCTAGGATACTGGACTATAATATCCATCATTTCCAGCCAGCGTTGGGCGTGTCGATGGCGGAGAGGAGGCATTACCTAGGGCAGGGGTAGGCAACCTCGGCTCTTTTATGACTCATGGACTCCAACTCCCAGAATTCCTGAGTCAGCATAGCTGACTCAGGAATTCTGGGAGTTGAAGTCCATGAGTCATAAAAGAGCCGAGGTTGCCTACCCCTGCCCTAGGGAATCCTACCCGTCGCCACGCTTCAGTGGTCCTTTTCTGCAGGGGAAACACAACCTGGAGGTAGCCAGTTGTATCAGTTCAATAAAATAATTCCCTCTTCCGAACGTCAGGCACAACCTTTCCATTTCTGACCATTCTTACAGTATTTATAACTTCCCTTTTCGTTGTTTGGAGACTTTAACTTTTTTTAGCATTTGTTTCGGTATCATTCTTAGTTGTATCATCCCATGCAAATTTCTGAAATACTCCTGATAATTCCCTCTGTTGTAGTAGCATTAAAAACCATTTTTGTCATCTTTACTTTTAATTCCCTTGCTACTGATGGAGGCTCGGTATTTAGGCTGCGCCATCCATTTACAAAACGCCTTTAATTTTCAACAAAAATTAAAGCTGCAGCTTTTATTCTATCATTCCTTGTCTGACTACATTCTTTGGAGTGATCAGTGTAAACCCTAATACAAAGTATTTCATTTTTTTTGCTACAATTCTATTTCTTTTCCACAGTTTCTTTCACTTCATCATTGTAGCAAGTCATCTAATTTACATTTCTGCTGGGCGGTTAAACTGGCATCTAATACTTTTTATTATTGCAGATTTATTTTCACTCTAGTATTGTTCACTTCATCTTCCATGTCCATTTCCTCCCAAGATTCATTTTTGGCAGTATCGAGTACCAGTCTGTCTCATATTCAGAACCTGTTATCAATTTGGTATCCATTTGTTCTATCAACTTTCATCATATTCTGTACAATTAAATAATTATTTTAGGTTTATAGTTATTCCCCTGCCAAGTTATACTTTTTTAGAAAAAAATCTATTAAAATTCAAAAATGAGCATTAAAATACAAACTAATAGAAACAAAGGAAGGGGAATAACAGATTAAGTTAAAAGGTGACAAAAATACATTAAACAAATACATAACAGATGTGACCAACTTTTTTCATTACAGAGAGAATAATACAATACAGCCTCTTTAAGTTTCAATGAATAATACCAATGCCAAGTGATAGAACTGATTTGTGCTTTAGCCATATATTTGAAACAAACAGACCTTTATCTAAACTGATATTTCACCTTTCTCACTCATTCTTGGGACTCTGAAATGAGCCAACCTCTTTTTTGATATCCCTTTGTCTTTTTCCCACTCATCCAATCCTATAATTTAATAAAAAAAAAAGTTCTCCTAGATTGCATTTATTCATAATGTTGCACAAATCTCTGATTCTTCCATGGAATGTAACAGGCAACTATCACCATGGGTTTCTATTTTCATAGATGCCATTGGTT